AATGGCGGTGCACGCGGTCGGGTCAGACAGAAGGTGGAGGCCGCGGAGCGTTTTTTTTTGTTTTTTTTTTTTTCAACCTTCAGCGTTCCCGGCGTGTACTGCAATGTTGCTGCAGCTGCGAACGCGCCCCCCATCGTTCGAATTCGAGCGGAACGGCCATGTCGTTCAACGGGGATTCAACGACCATTCAACGACATTGAATCGGTTCAATGGTTTTTCAACGAGCGTTCAACGGATTCAACGGGGGTACAACGGGGGGGTCGGGTGTCGAGTTTTATTTTTTTTTACCCTACCTGCAGCGCCGCATGCCCGACAGCTGTTGCGCTTGGCCCGTTGAACGTTGTTCAACGAGAAGGCCCCCTTGAATCGTTCAACGGCGTTTCAACGGGGCCCCCGGGGTTATTCAACAGGTACAACGGCGCTGAAAAAATCCCGTTGGCCGTTGAATGGACACACAACTCTACTTGCCATTACTATGCACAAGGGGTTATTGTTGCTACTAATCGCGATCTATATGGGAGTGCGGTTACTACTCACAGTTACTATTACAAATGCAGACTTATACAAGTTACCGAAGAGTACTAGCAACCACAATTATTGTGTCATTGTTAGAACAGTTGTAGCAGCAACAACGAATGACTAATTATCGTGGACGCTTTTACTGTTGACTGTACAATTCTCTACGAGATACAACTGCAGTAGCAAGTTACTGTTAGTTGATGCTGATATCACTATTCGCTGTTACGACTACCACCACATTTTCATTCATCACTACGAAATAAAAAGAGGTTAGAATACAGTAGTAGGACTTGACAGACTTAACCATATCTCAGGAAAAAGAGAGGAGGAGAAAAGGACGTTCATCTGTGCAGTGAGCTTTTGGTTGTTGGTGGCGCAGTGACGATTCACTTCAACTTTGGATTGATAGACCCGGTTATGGTCAAAAGCAGATGGTTATAGATTATTGATCATCAGAAGTGTCGTATACGAAGTCCTTGTTGCCCGCTTTCATGCGCATTTTTCGATTGCTTTCGTTGATTGGTTGCATGTTCTCAACACGACACCTCATTTGTTTCCGCTGATCATAATAACTAGTTCCTTGCCTCTTAGCAACTCACTACTGGCCATAATGTTTGAATAAACAACTAATGCAATTCATTATTGCACACTTCATATCACTATGACTACTGAATACGGTTGTTATGGTCGCCCTTGATACCATGGTAGTTACACTAAAAATGCTCACTTACTACAGACAGGTGTAGTTGTTCTTTTGATTCCGGTAAATAAGAGATTCCATAACTACATGTCACCAACGTAGACCATAACAGCTGACTTTCATTACTAATCGTTAGATTTTTTTTTTTTTTTTTAGGTTGTTACAGAGGGATAAAAGTCATTACAACTTAATGGTGTTATCTAAAAGGTGTGTCCACAAAGATATTTCCTAGTTAAAAGTCATAAGTAGTCGTGAGTGTGGATTAAGATTGTCGTGCATGATAAAGGTTTGTTTTGCCTAAAGTTGTTTTTTCAACAACAAAGTGAACATACACAAACATGAGAAGATTGAGGAAGGTCTGCCAGAGTTCAGAAGTAAACTTTCAAGACATGGAACTTTTGGGTACGCGTTTGCTTTCTTTTATCCCGTAACCCCCTACGACTACATATCACTATTTTTTTGATTGCACATGCAAATGTACACTAATTATAAGTATTTCTGGACCAATTGAATCTAAAGGGAAGAAAGAGGTCACTAGGATGTAATAAGTGTTTTGTGTGAAGGAGAAAAAAAAATTGATAATATCCTAAAGAACCTAAGGCTAAAAGAAAATGAAGAAATTGTGAGTTATCTGTTACGAAAGTGAAAGATGTATGAAATTGTGATAAATAGGTTAAATAGTCCTGACTCCTGATGATCTGATTGGTATTCAAAAGTGAATGGATAGGGGGCCAAGGAGTGTCCGTCCAGTTGCTTCAAGTGTGTTGCTTTTAACTTGATGTTATGAATGATATTGAAAATTGACTAGATAGAGGGCCAAGGAGTATCCGTCCAGCTGCTTTAGGTGCATTGGATTAACTCAATGTTCTAAATAATATTAAGAGGTGGTTGGATAGAGGGTCAAGGAGTGTCCGTCCAGTCGCTTCGTGTGTGGGAGTGTCCGTCCAATTGCTTCAAGTGTGTTGGTTTTAACTTGATGTTATGAATGATATTGAGAATTGACTAGATAGAGGGCCAAGGAGTATCCGTCCAGCTGCTTCAGGTGCATTGGATTAACTCAATATTCTAAATAATATTAAGAGGTGGTTGGATAGAGGGTCAAGGAGTGTCCGTCCAGTCGCTTCGTGTGTGTTTAACTTGATGATCTGTTTGGTATTGACAAGTGGTTGGACAAAGAGTCAATGAGTGTTTGTCCAATCACTTCGTGTGTGTTTAAACCAACAGAAAAATTCCCATGATAAATGAAAGTTGAAAAAATATTCCATAAAAAAAATCCTTCATATTTATAAATTATCATTCCAATGTTCGTTCAATTCTAAAATTGTTAGTTTTATTTGATAAGTTCCCATCTAAATATGAGTTTTTCCTTCGAACTACATCTATTTGTTCAAGATGGAATGAAAGTCTGGACAAGTTTATGAAATGTTTTAATTAAATTTTCATTCTACTAAAATAAATATCATCTAATTTAGATTGGATTAAAATATTTATGACGAAAAATCCTTACTTAGAATGATAGACCAATTAAAATATTTCATGAACTCATCCAGATTTTCATTCCATCTCTAGCATGCAGTCCAAATAAGAAGGGATACCCTATTCTTGGAATGAAAGTTTGAAAGTAAGATGAAAATTTTTAAAATTGGAATGACATTTTTAAAGATGGAATAAAAATTTAAAATTTAGATTGTAATTTTACTATAGAATGATTATTTAATTATGGGAAATTTTTCGTTGACTGATGTTCCGATTGGTATTTGGGGGGGGGGGAAGGGGGGACTTGATAG